TCCTGAAATAGGTTTTATTTTTATTTTCATTTACTCGTCTTGTTATTGATTTGGGTGTGGGTGTGGGTGTGGGGTGTGGGTGTGGATGGGTGTGGGTGTGGGTGTGGTGGCGGGTGTGGGTCTGAGTGTGGGTGTGGGGTGTGGGTGTGCGTAGGGGTGTGGGTGTGGGTGTGAGTGTGAGTATGGGTGTGAGTGTGGGTGTGGGGTGTGGGTGGGTGTGGGGTGGGTGTGCGTGTTGGTGTAGGCTTGGCTGTGGCTGTAGGTGTCGATGTGACTCTTATTATGGCTGTGGCATAGAGAAGATGAAGGGCCATACTAATCCGCACGCCCACACCTACACCCACCCCCACACCCCACACCCACATCCACACCCACCCCACCCCACACCCACACACATCCACATCCACACCCACACCCACAGCCACAGCCACACCCACCCACACCCACCCACACCCACATCCACACCCACACCCACACACCCACACCCACATCCACACCCACACCCTCGAAGTAACTTTAACCTATGAATGAAATAGATTTGATCGACTAATGAAAATAATAAACTATATCATTGATTTGTTGGAGAGTTTTTTTTTTTATCTTCTATATTTCTAGTGCCATATACTTACAGTTTTGTTGTTGTTCTTGAATGTAAATGAGCCGATTCCAATCAATTTGATCATTACTAACAATAATGGATTTCATTGTATCTTTTTCAGTAAATTGTTCAAGTTTTTGTTTAATTTCATTAATTTTTTGTTTAAGTTCATCAATATCATTTTCAAAAAAATTTTCTTCTCGACGATCACGAATTTCTTGTGTTATTGGTTCAAGTTGTTTTATTATTGTAATTCTTTGTTTATGAAGTAATTCGATAAGTTGATGATGAATTTTTTCTGCTGCTTTTTCTACTTTTTTAATTGTTGTTTTTTTCCATTGTTCAATTTGATCAAAAAGAGTTAATGATAAATAATTTGATTTTTCTAATTTTTGTATTTGATCAAAAAGTTCATCATGTGATCTTACTATTTCATTATCAAATGTAATTAATAGTTGTTGTTTATGTTCTTTAAAGTCCTTTGGACAAAAATATTTTCTACATCCGGTGCAAAAATATTTTCCCGCAGGTTTATTACATATTGAACATAAATTTGATTTATTTCCTGTTGCCATTTATCTTAGAATTAAATCATTAAAAATTATATAATGTATGAAAATGTTTCGAAGAATTTCAATCTAAAAGAAATTCATATACTTGTGACTTAATAATTCTGAAAATCTTAATTAAAGTCGATCGTGTCGAACGTCTCATAAACTTTGTTCTAGATGAACTAATTCTCGTGAAATAAGTTGATTTATATTTATAAAAGTCGGAAAATTCCTCGAAAATTTATTTGAACATTGTATATAGATTTCTCTATAAAGGATAATGATGTTTTCTATAAATAAAAATTCATTTTTGTGATGTGGAATATGTTTGTTTCATCAAGATTCGAATCTATCTATGAAAATATTACTTATTTCTTTTTAGACAATATCATAAATAATTGAAAAAATGTAATGATTTTTGAAAATGGCACATGTGTTTTGTTCGTTTTAATATGTTAATTCCCCTTGAATAATTTGTCTTATACATTTATTGGAGATTACTTTGTCTGATAATGAGCTGTTTGACAACATTTGAAAAGACGTGAATAAATGAAAAAGGTAACAATAACTTTCTCAACATTCTTTTCTTTCAATCAGTCTTGTTCTTAGTAAACAACAAAGGAAAAACTGTCAACATTTCTTTCTTCAATATGTCAACGCGAGTAGGTGAAGCTTCTGTTTTAGAGAAAAAGCGAAAAATAACGAAAATAGTATGACTTGTACGGTGATGCCTAACTATGAAAACTGCGTCATTTCTGATATTTCTTAATATTTATGAATTCAAAACTCTATTTATGATCCTACTACGAAGAACATGATATTATACGCAATAAATTGTTATACAGGTCTATATATGATAATAGCAACTATAAATGTAGAAAATCATCAAAAAAGCACAAGTGTAAAGGAAATCTTGATTTTCAGCTAGGAAACATAAACTAATGAGTATTAGAATACTTATCGAAACTTTCCAAAATTATCTAGATTTATACTTTTTCTCTGTTTTTCGCCATTTTCTCAACATCTTTTATGTCAAAAAAATGCCATTTATGACTCTCAAAGTCAATATTTTTGCTTCTCATCTTAAGTAAAACATCACTTATATTAAAACTCCTTCTCAAAAACATCAGTTTTCGTCAAAACTATGAAAATTGAGATAAGTATATAGAAAGATAGCTCGATGTCTGAACTTTCATAAATGACAAAGTGTTTTAATATTGCACCTCGTTTTTTTCATATATATTAATGAAGAAATCGAAAAATCCTGTTCTGTTAAGTTGGAGAGCTAAATTTTGCTTTCATTTCAACGCCAAGCCCAGCTTTCTAGCGTTAAAAATGGCGGAGAAATCTGGCATGCACGGAAACGTAAAAATTAAAACTCTTATTTTGAGAAAAAAACCAAACATTTTTAGAAAAAAAACATTATTTTTCTCGATGGAAACGTCAGAAAAGTCTATGTAGTCCTCTTACATCTCAACATAAAATCAATCAACTATAGTGCATTTGAAAGCACACACTTTACTCTATATAACGAGCTATAAATCTCAAGATCGATCAATTTGATCAAAATTGAATTCTTTTTTGGGAGGGAAGGGGGCTTGAGCTCAGATAAGAAATTATATCTTAAAAAGTATGAATTCAAAATATTAGGATTTTCTGACATACTTGTGAAAAATATCGAAGGCCTTCATCTTTCAATGTTTCAGATTAAACTATAAAAATTAAAACATACCAACTTTTTCAAATTTTGTCGTTTCTTTGTAAGATTCTTCTTATCTCTGTTCATTGTTTCAAGTTCGATAAGGTCTTAGAAGATTCACAAAAGAGTTCTCTAAAAAAAAGCTACGTCAGCAGTCATTACAATAACCTTTAGTAATCGAGCGTGCTTCCACGAGAAGGAGGATCTATGATTTATCCTAACTATTGTTGCAGCGATTCACTTTCAATCCTCTTGACTCATGGTGTCCGAAAAAAAAATGAATTCAGATTCTGAAGGAGCTCGAAATTTTTCAGCTTTTGAGATATTAGTCACAAGATAGAAAGATGTACATTGAATTTTAGTAAGAATCGGAATTGGCGCACTTTGATAGTCCTCAATGGTCATCCTTTTTGGTCATTGATCACTATATAGACTAAGTTTATTACAAATAAAAATATGACTCAATATTCATGGTCAACATCAAAAAGTTACTATAAAAATGCTATATGATTGAATGTATGCTTAATAAAGTGGAAAAAAATAAGGTTGAGTAGGAGCAGCCTAAATTTATCTCAGATCATATTTTTATATTCGCCTTGGTCAACCTATCTACTTCTTGATAAGAAGACATGAGATGAAGTATTATATGTCATTTCGAATCATCAGACGTGAAACCTTAGAAGAATTTAAAAAAATTTCTTAGATGTTGTTTTCAGGTTAAGAACATTGAAATTTTTCCCACATCAGTTTCGAAACGATAAAAACTTATAGAAGTTGCGCTTATTTTTAGTAATTTTCATTATTATGGTTCATTCCTAGAGAAAAATAAATAGCATATTCGAAAACAGTGTAATAAAACTATATAAAATCAGATATATGTTAGTAAAATATATTTTTTATGAACAACCAGCTCGAGAAGTGTCACAACCAATTTTTTCCTTTAAAAAAATGCTGAGCTGGAATACAGGTGAATTTTACATAAAAAATAAATTTTGCTAAAATATATTTGATCCGACGTAGGTTTTTGCATTTGTTTCAAATATTCTATTTACTTTGCTCTCATATTAAGCTAAGATGTGAAAAGCTACTAAATACAAACACAATTTGAACAAAATTGTATAGTTTTGCCATTTAGTGTAACAACTGGTGTCTCTACTTAAAGGCCTGTGTAGGTCTTTTCATTTTGTAAGTAATCTCTCAAAAGATGCAAAATTTCAAGTGCTTTCAGCGTATGGAATCATTTTTTTCAGATATCATGAGTCAACCAGGGAAGTGACGAATTGTTGCCACTATAGTTATCATAAACCATAGAATATCGGCTTCTTTGTTGAAGCTTGTTCGATTACGAAAAGCTATTGTAATAACAACTGATGTGACTGATTTTCTAGATAATTCATTCCTGCATATTTTGAGATCTTTTCCGATCCACAAGGATGAATGAAAGCAAAGAGCATCTCAAAAACCAGATAAAATATTAAAAAAATCTGTTTTTCTGAATTTATCTGGTCGAACCCTACACTTAGGAGAGTAGGGGTCTTCCGTATTTTTCTATAAATATGTTAAAAAAATCTAATATTTTGGACTCGTATGTTTCACGAAATGATATCTCATTTGAACTAAAAAACAACTCAATTATACAACATTTAGCGAAACTTGATTGAGATAGTGGCCTGACAGACCTTCTCTTAATAATAAGAAATGGAATGATATCTGCCGGCGTCTTTTTATCAATATTAAGACTTAAGTAGTGACTTTTAACTTAATATTAAGTTAAGATAAATGATTCACTTCTACAATAGACAATGAACAAGTTCCATAGATTGAGCTATGTAATTTTAACAATAAAATTCTTACTCACAATCCGATGAAATCTTTGTTTTGTTTCTTTTTACGAAAGATATGATGTAAGAAGTGGCGAGTTGTGCAAATAGAAGGTAGAACAAAACCAAATAAAACTCACGTTTTTTTTTTGTGAAGAAAAAACAATACAGAGAAAAGAAAAAAGGCTTGTACATCTCGAACGCAACATGTATTCAAAGAGTTACCTGTTGGAAGTAGAATTGCTCAACATTTGACGCACTGAAAGAGCTACTGTTAAGACAGTTGAACTCATTCAATGATTTGAAGAGCATGGCTAATAATAAGACATGCTCTATATCTTTTTTTTTACAAAAATATTATTGATTTTGTGTTTAATAGAAAAATTCTAATGCGTAGTGGTTTACTTCGGAACCTTTGAATCAAAGAACGATTGTCAAGAAAAGTTTTGAACAATACTCGAAGCAAAATAAATCGAATGGAGTAGAAATAAACAATGATCATCTTCGGTATTGCTCTCAATGAATGAATAGGTAATGAAGATTTTTATATTATTGATAAAAATCGATCGATAAAGTTTCGTTTGGATGATTGATACTGAAATTGAATTTGTTTCACATGTATTGGCATATGTAGAAGCTTTTCTATGATATTTTTATATTTTGTGTTTATTTTTTGCATCTAACCAGAAATTTCCTATTTCAAACAGTAATAATTATGGATATGATATAGAAATTGCTTTCTAACAGATCAATTATTTTAGAATTTATTTAGAAATTTTCATAATTTCCGATTAACTTACCTTTAATTTTGTGATTAGTTTCTGTCAATTCTTAGAACTTTCTGAACTTCTTGGTAAATTTTTTGTATGTAATTACTCGAAAAATTCTTATGCTTTGTCAAAAACTTAAAGTAATTTTGAATTTTAATTATCTATGTGTTACAAATGTGATTCAATCGATTTATATCAAAATTAACTTATTTTAATTCTTTTCATTCAAAGTGGATTAAAAAATCGAAAGTTTTTGCAGAAATCAACATTGATATAGAATGCATAAATTCTTTGTTGAATCTATGGAAATCGAATTTTGAAAACAGAAATTGAAGCAAAAGAACTAAATATTGATATATTTTAACATAGTTATAATTTCAAAATCATGATGAATCTTCATCAAGTTTTGAATATTCTAACACATTCAGTCCCACTGCTAAAGTTTTCAGGATATCCGATTGTGTTTGGTTTCATTTTAGCATCGTTTCGACACTTTTTACTTTCAATTGTGATCACGATAAAGATCTATGTTTAAGGAACAGAAATATAGATAGTTATTCTTTCTGTATATCTAAGATGCTTGAGAACTATCCATATGTAATTATTCATTCTTTTCATCACCACGATTTTATCCATACTTTTGAATGAGTCGAAAAAGAAAGTACAAAATTACTGATAAAGTTTTCAATAAACGATAGTTTGCATCTTTCTGTCAATATTAGAAGTAACTCAAAA